AGAGAGAGAGAGAGAGAGAGAGAGAGAGAGAGAGAGAGAGAGAGAGATTCATCTGGACTTTATTAAAGGTTCCTGAGGATCTCTGTTGAAATTGCAGCAACGCTGTAGAAGGTTGCTCATTCCTCCCTTTAAGCTGTGGTGGCCTGCAGCTGACACAAGCAACAAAGTCACATTTTTACAGACGTGTAATGTTTCAGAGTGCAAGCAACGATAATGTCGTCGAGTCATTTCCTGTGACCTGTTTTGAGAGCAACATTTGTTGCGATTAGACTCGTATTATACTCAACTTCATACTTGGAACAGTAACTCATACTTTACTTTTTTACTAATTGCTCGCTTTTTGATGATGAACTTTGTTCACAATGTAAATCTAACGAGAGATTACGAATCTGCTTTAGTAAAATCGATGAATTTATCTTTTAATAAATGCAACTATTTTGTATTATTGCTGCTGTCATAGCTCTGTCTGGCTTGGATATATTCTAGTCTGCACTCCAACCCAATGCACACACACACACCACCTACACACCGCCCCCTTCCAATGCCCAGAGTTCATTGGCACTCTGTCTTGATGAGTGACGCCCCAGCCCCCCCAGCGAGGCTGAGACTACTGGACGATGGGAATGTGAGGAGGAGGGGACGACAGTTGGACTCCAGGCATGCTTATGCAACTTCCACCAAGGGTTTCATATCTCTCTCTTGTTTTCACAAGCGATAGCAGAGCTCTTGAACGGGTCGTATTGTTTAATTTGATGCCTTAATGGGTCTATTTCAATCTACAATGATCATAGTGATTGTACTGAAAATAATAGCAACAGAAATGTGAAACTAAGTTGTTTTTTTTACAATTTAAAAAAAAAAAAAAAAAAAAGGATTAATCAAATACGCTCTCTGCAGTGCTGCAGAATACTTGTTTTTTATCATGAAACGGAACACGCTGTCCCTTGTTGAACTTCAGCTTGTTATCTAATCATTCAGACCTCTCCAAACCTTTGGCCGTGGTTCCTTTGGAATTGATTTGATCTTGACAAAGGTAGTCTTCACTGAAGCTCTGTTTTACATATTTTTTTGGTAGTTGGAATTTGCCAGAAAGATTTGGCCCAGTCCGGTCTGAGCCCAGAACTGGTTGGTTAAAAAAAATGACAGGAATAGCAACCAGAATTTTTCCCATCTTACTGGTCACTTTGCTGTGTCATTGTGGTTTTGGGATTTAATCTCCACGAGGTCGATGGAGCTCTGCATCGTAAACATGAGACGGACAACTATCCGCCTCGGCTTCTCTCTGAAATCGCTTTTTTGTTTATCCAAAAAATTAGATCATATTCCTTCCTGGAGTGCAGTTAGTGACCGTGTGGGCTCCATGGTAGATCGGACAGCTTGACTGATTTAGCGCGTGTAATTGCGGCGCTGTCCATGGTTCTGAAACGGAGCGGAGAGGATTGATAGGCAGACAGACGGAACACGTCACAGGTTCTTGGCCTGCTTGCTTTTTGTGGTTGTTAATAGAACTTTTGGCCCGTTTCCTAACTTTATTGCAGTTTTTAAAAAGTTGGCATTGAAAGTAAATTAAACGTATCATTTCGGTTCTCCAGAGTTGAGCAGAACTGTCCAGTATCGATGTTCTTTTCCGCTGATCGGATTGCCACGTCGACCTATTTAACATAACTGATTTCACTACACGAAACACAGGGATTCAAGGCAATTTAAAGAACATTTAAATAAAAATGTATCGATAGTAGTCACGGACTTATCGCTACACTATCGTTTAAAAAAAAACTATTGCGATAGCAAGCTATATCGATATTTTTGCACAGCCCTACTTTTTATTTCATTGTTCTATATTCTGTTTTTACCACATGTTTAGATTGCTTCACCTGCTGTCCCGTCACAATGTGGCAACGCGGTTTCTCACCGCTCACGGGCGACGTTTGATGCCAACTTGTTAGCTTTGTGCAAACGACGAATGCTGTACCGTGTGTTTTCCTTTCCTTTGCGCTCTCATGCTGTAATCCCCCACTAACGGGGCTTCATACAGTCACAACTGTCATTCATCAAGGCTGAATGCCGAGGAACTCTAGTCAGTGCGGTTGTAGCAGTTTCCCTGGTTGGTGTACTTGCTGTGTATCATGGGACACGTTCCCCTTACGGCATACCTTTTTGAAAGGTCTGTCCGGCTTTGTTGTCCTTCGACATGCCAGCAGGAGACAAAAAAAAGCTTTCTCCCCTGTAGAATGACGCCGCCTTGATATGAACCTTGGCAACCGTTGGGACACCAAGGTTTTCTAATTGTAACGACATCCCGGTTGCAGATGGAGACGCTGAAGACCGGTCCTTTTTAGATTTAAAGGTGCGGGGTTTAAATTTAGTCCGCGTCCTGCCGTCTCGCTCCTCTGATGACAATAACAGCGCATTTCCTGCTATGCCCTGTTTTTTCCTTGTGTGTTTTTACCAGAGCGAGTACATGAAGTGCTGCTTCAGCCGAGACCACCGCACTCTGCAGCACGTGTTCCTGTTGTGAGAGGGGGGGGGGGGGGGGTTAATCAGATTGTCGAGCGGTGTCGAAGTTGGACGCCGGTGTAGAGGAAGTGGTGGTGGGAGGGGACCTCGGACGCCTTGACAGGCAGGATGAGAGGCCAAGGAGACTTGATAAACATCGTGATTCATTCAAGTGGGATCCTTTCCTCCATATCTTTCCTCTGGTGTTTTTGCCTCCGATCAGGAGAAAAACAGATTTTAATTTGACAGAACTGTGAGAGACATCGATGATCTCCATTGGATATTTGCTGTAACTGGCAGTGTAAAAACACAGAGGGATTTGATCGATTACGTTGGTGAGATCTCTTAGGGATGAGTTGTAGCTGGACAAATAATCAGATCACAGTTTATCATGTCTCATTACCATGTTCACATGATTGAGATGGACCTAAAATTATTTTGAAGAAATGGAGGGTAGCATTTCACCTCTACTACTGGGTCCATACGACCCACATTTACATTCATCTGTTATAGAAATAAAAATAAATAGCCAACAACTCAACAGTAGCAGGGCATGAATATGCAAAAATGAAACTCTGAGATCAATAGCTCTTAAAATAAGCCTGCTATCGGGTTTAATTTGACTCTCCTTGCCCCACGTGTCATTTCACTCGTCTGTTCTTTATGGCGACTGTATGCTCACAGTAG